CTAAAAATCAAGTGAATAAAAAATCTGAAGAACAGAATAAACTGGTGAATATAATAGAATCAGGGGCATAGAAAGGGAGTGGACTGACCATTCTCAGGGGAGAAGGGGGTGTGGGGGGTACAGGAAGAGATTGGACAAAAATCTTACACCTGTGGACGAGGACAATGGGGGGTGGTAAGGGCATGGGGTGGGGTGGAAACCGGGTGAAGGGGAGCTATGGGGGGGAAAAAAGGAACAACTGTAATAATCTGAACAATAAATATTCAAAAAATGATATAATTAAGTAGCATTCAATTTTGTTTTATACTAACTGGAGTCCAGAGAAGGGGAGGTAAATTATAATTCAACTCAAAACATCTAACAGGGCTGGCATTTCATAAACTTAAACAGCAGCGACAAGCACGCACGCAGGCTCTCAGGTCCTGTTTGAAATAGTTACAATTAGTGACTGGGGCGGCTACAACTGTCTCCCACCGATTTGCTTAAATAGAAAGGCAGGTGGAAGCTCAAAGTAAGTACACCAGATAAGAATTTTCAGAGTTACAATTTCTCTCCCAAATGAAACAAAAACTCTCCCTGTCAGGATAGTCCATCACCTTCAGAAACGAAACAAATTATTAAACATAACAGGAAATAGTGTCAGAGGAGTCAGAATGCTGATGCAATGAGAACAACTAAACTAAATAAAGCAACAAGGAAAAGTAAACACCACCCCTATTTCCAACAGGTCTGAGTGGCAACAAGAACCTCAGAAAATCTGGTCCAAGAGTGAAAGAATGCAACGTGGAAACAGTCAATCAGTGTTTCTAAGCACTGTGGCCACTGTTTCAAGTTTAATTGTTCTGAAGCACATAAATGACTTTGGTATGAATATAAGACAGTGTAAATAACAAAAACCTTTTTAAGATTATATCTGAACAGCGGACTTATTGACGATGGGATGCTGCCCCGATCACTTTCCCCCGAGGTGGAAGTGATGGCCCAGCGCGCCTGGCCTGCAGGGTGTCTGCGGGTCTCTGACCATAGTCCCACCTCAGGGCATCCTCAGGTGACCCTGCTGGATCTGTGTACACTGCTCAGCGAGGCAGCGGCCCCCCAGGAAGTGCTCGTACCTTCAGGAACGCTTCCTTTTGTTCAAGGTGCTTGCTGATCATCGGGGTGACGTGATCCGTCTCGGAATTGGGGCCCAGTTTGTCGGCTCCTCCACACCAGTCCTCTTCTCTCTTGTACTCCTGCTCCAGGCTCTCGAGGACACTGCAGACCTGTGGGCAGGAGACAGTTCCAGCTCAGAGGGACCCCAGCACCCGGGGGCACGGGCTGGCATCTGTGGGGAGCATTTTCAAAGCGTCCCGAGGATCAAACCACTGGAAGGAACCACGGCTCCATCTAACACGAGGATTGCCCATGCAGGCCTTTCCGAACAGGGACAAAACAAAAGCTGGGTTTCCTGTCTCCCTCAGACATGTTGCAGGTCGTATACTTAAGTGATTGGAAAGGGGTGCTTCTTAGCCACTTCCCAGCCAATTACGCTTTGATGCCTACGGTGAGCACAAGTGGTGTCACGTCTAAGAATGCTTCTCTTCTCTGCTGGACTTGGAATGAGCTGGCTCAATCATGACTGACAAGTTAATGACTGAGTTGTCCAATCAAATCGAGCTCAAAATAACCTGCCAGTCGGGAGGGAGCTGAGGGACTGGGCCCCCTCCCTACCTGCTCCGAGGTTTTGTAGAAGGCGACGGACGCGTTCACCAGCTTCAGGCGGTCTTCCATCTTGAGCATGAGCTGCTGCCAGTGCGAGGCCACCTTCTCGGCGCAGTCCCGGATCATGTCCATGTCGTAGTGGTTGGCCTGCAGCATGGCCTCTGCCTTCTGCTGCACCTGCAGCGCGCTCTGGTGTGTTTTCTAAGGAGAGGAAAGGGAGGGCGCACTTAACAGGGGCGCCACGCACTTACTGGAAAGGCCCTGGGAACGCCACGGCCTTTCGTGCCCCTTGCTTTTATAGAAACCGCCTCAGCTAATGCTCATTAGGACACTTCTAAAAACAGCAGATAGTTTAGTTAAAAAAATGTTTTCATGCCTAGCGACGACTGCTTCTATTTAAATGAGCTAATGAAGGATGAAATGCATTAAGACTTTCCAGGCCTCTGTGGTGGGGTCTCGGCCTGAGAAGGAGCAGGAGAAACCTTTAACAGCCAACATTCTAGAAAAGCTGCTGAAATAGTCCAAGTGTATTATTCCTGTTGATCCTTCTTATAATAGCAGCTACAGGCAAAGGAACAAGTGAGGAAAAGGTGGCCACAGTGAAGGCTTTTTATTTTCATTTTCAACTTTAACTTTGGATGAGAGTAAAATGTTCTCAAGAACTATTGATTTACACAAAAAGAAAGAAAAGAACAGCTAAGGCTGAACCAACGGTTTTCCCTGGAGGTCCACGCCATGATGAATCTATGAACATAACACGACGATCCAGGAGACCTCCTGCTCTGTGTCCTCCCTGGAAGGTTTGGCGGAGGAGGGGGGGTCCCTCAGTGAAGAAATGACTTCTGGGTAGGGGAGTGCGTGGGTCTCCGTGGACTCAGATTCCTTTCTCTTTTTTCATTTATTAACAATACCAAAAGTTTGTATTTCACCTGAAGGAGCTAATGATTCCACAGGACACTGTCCCCGATAAAGTCCCAACACCACACAGTGATGTGCACTGACAATGTAATTACTGGGAATCACTGGCACAGTGTACAATTTTCAAAAGATGCCCGGAGTCTGGGCTTCCAGAGTGTTAATGTGTGTCCACTGGCACTGAGTAGTTGAAAATAAACCAGTCTAAGGCACAAATTAATGGCGATCTCTGTGGCTCCCTTCTCTCGCTGACAATATGTATGTAAAGAGAGCAGAAAACAAGTTCTCTGTAAACAAATGCTCTTTCACCTTTGGCTTTACCTTGAGACCACTGGTCACAACTGTAACTGCCCCTCAAACCTAAAAGTAATTATCTACCTCCTTTGAGGGTGAACTTGGGCAGGCCTGAAACGGCCCGAGCCGTTCTGCTAACGTCCTGGGTGGCACTGACACTCAAGACCGGAGACAATGGGTGAGTAACGCCCTTCCCCAGGGCGCAGGGGTTTGTGGACAGCGCTGGGTCACCCACCGGCAACAGTGAAGCGTGATTTGTGCCTGGTCTTGGTGAGCCGCCCAGAGCGCTTTATTTGCTGAGGCTGCTTATATAGCAGGAATGTGCCCATGAGACCAGCAAAATATAAAATGCCTGAGCCGAGATGCCAACTCGGGGTACCTAGTGCCAGGCATTCCTGATCCAGAAGGTCCACCTCAGCAGGACCCCGGGCTCCCCTGGCCTTGGGGACCCTCTGCCGTGAGGCTGCCCGGCTAGCATGCACAGCCTCGCTCCTCCGCAGGGCCAGGCTGAGGCCTTCTCCTGTGACTCCCTGTGGGCTTGTAAGCATTGCCGTTTGGGGTCCCGTGGAACCCCATTTTGGCTTCCAGGGTCAGTGCCACGTGAGGGACGAAGCAGGCCTGCCTCCCGGGGGAAAGACCCGCTCGAGGCGGCCAGCGCCCTACCTCGATGGCGTGCTGGAACTGCTCGTGCTCCCGCTGCAGCTGCTCCGCCTCCTGCAGCGAGCTGGCCGTGATGAGCCCGGCGTTCAGCATCGACTCGCCATTGCGGATCCAGCCCAGCACCTGAAACGGTACACAGGTCATCCAAGCGCGGCCCTTCCCGGGCAGCCCGTGGACCAGCAGTGACACGATCTAAGCAGCAAGGTGGCCGAGCTGCTCACATCAGCCACATGGAGCTGGTTTCTGTATGACCCCACTGCCCACAGCCTGAGACCTGTCAGGAGTGTGCGACCGTAAGTGCTGCACTGTTAATGGATGCGGTTATTTTTAGTTGCTAAAGGGAGCTGAAAGGGTAGAGGGTCCAGAGGATGGTTATTAGTCCACAGGCCAAAACAGGTTGGGGACCACATATCCCAAAACCAACAGCCACAAAGAATTCTCTGCTAATAAAAAAAATATATATTTTTTTCATTCTTTCAGTCCTAATGAAAATGCAAAGTTGGCAAACTGCTTGGTAAGGGAACTGTTTCATCCCAGTAATAAATTTTCCATTTTAGCATCAGTATTAAGTGGCACAATAACTGAAGTGTGAACAAAGCTGTACTCTATGCTCAGAGGCAAACCAGGAGATCCTCAACCTCACACACGGAGAAGCTGCCTCTGACAGCCGAAGCCAGCGGCTGCGGAAGTCACTCCGGGTAGTTATTTGTGGCAGAGACAGCTCATTCCTAATACCTATTTTCCTTGTCTCCTTTACTCAGAAAACCCCAACTTTTGGGGACAGCTTAAAATAAAACCACCTCTTAGCCACTATGACAGCTTGGGTACAGCTATGACATAATCCTAGCCTCTGAGATCAAAGCAGTCGCCTCTGGGGGATTTTGTGAAAATATTTTTCTGGTACATGTTTTGCCTTTTTCTTGTTACGTTTTCCCTTCCTGATGCCTGGACTGTGGAGGTGATGGTTGGGGCTACAACACCGTTTGGGCCATGAGCAAAGGGCCACCTACCATCAAGATCTCAACTAATACACCACGGGCCACCTTCTGACTCGTTACGTGGTTTTGGACTCTGTTACTCGTTAGGCAAATGCAGTTCCTAAAGAATATGTCAGTCTATCCCTATATTTTTTAGGTGAATTGTTCTATGTTTGCCAAGAAGAAGAACTTCATTAACTGGTCTTTAAAAGGCAGCTCACATACTTTATCTCATTACAACAGGTGCTCTTTTAAAGACTTCTGTTTAATAACATGTCTGCTTTAATGCGAGTGCTGCCCACTTGTGCACCACACCTCGCTCCTGGTCTAGAGCAGGGGTGGGGAACCTTTTTTCTGCCAAGGGCCATTTGGAGATTGATAACATCATTTGTGGGCCATACAATTTTGTCAACTTAAAATTTGGCCTCTATATTTGGTCAAACATTTAATTAACTCACCCCTAATGCCTTGGCAGGAACAGACCAAATGATTTCGTGGGCCTTATACGGCTCGTGGGCTGGACACTCCCCACCCTGGTCTAGAGGCACCTTAAATCCCCTGGGATCAAACTAACACGTGCTTTTCTGTGCATCTACCAGCAAACCGTACTGTCCCAGCATCAAGCCAGCATCCCTGCTCATGAGATAAAACGCCACCTACAGGCTGAATATATGTATGCATGGAATCCCGCTGGCGCTGAGCAGAGAGCAATGTCTTCCAAATGTCCCACTTTATTTTGTCATGTATCCAGGATGTGGCCGTGTAGACGATACAAGAGAACTCGAGCCATACACAGCTGTGGTCCAGTCCAGACTCATAACAGTGTATTTGGCAGTAAAACCACATGGTCATTTAGACCAGGAAGCAAAGCATATAGGGTTTTAAGCAAGAGCATAGCAATAATAAAACGAGCGACATGGATGTTCCTCTCGAAGCCTTTCCCACCACAGCGCGAACACACAGCTGTCCAGGCAGTGGCTCAGTTTCTACGCTCGATGTGGCTGCATTAGGGTGGGTGTTAGGTTATGCACCAGGACAGCGTGCTCTGACCAGGGCCAAGCGTTCCCAAGGCGTCCAGGTCCGAATTACAGGCCCCCTCCACGTGCCTGTCCCTGGCTCTGGGCCAGCACGTGCTTACCTGCTTCACCTCCGCCTGCAGGTGGCGCAGCTGCACACACTGCTCCAGGTGCTTCCGATGCTGCTCTGCGGCCAAGTCCAGCTCCTGCTGCTTTTCGTGAAGAAACTCCAACAAGTCCTGGACCCGCGTAGCCATGTCCACGTCTCTATCGCAAAGCAGCTCCACGCCTGTGGACACCAGAGGGAGACCCTAGAATTCAACTCGCATTTCAATTTGTTCTTAAGGTTGCACGCTGGTCTGTCTGTGTGTCACCTCCCAGCTGGGGCGGGGCCGTCACGCTGAAGGCCACGTGCAGGGAGGGCCCAGCGCAGGGCGGTGTGACAGCTGCCTGGCAGCGTGTGAGGAGTCCCAGAGAACGTATCTGACGTGTTAAAGCCAAAGTAATAATGTCCCGCCCACCACACTGAGCCCGTCTCCTGTCAGTCCACTTCTCCTACAATAACCACGAAAATGTGGCATCCTTTATAAATGAGAACTTCGGCTTGCTTTTGTTGTTACCTGCTGTACATCTAGTTTACATTTCAGGAAGCATTTAAGAACATGATTTGTGTAAAATGAGTAATGGCATATTCAGGTTGTTGCTAAGTTTCTTAACACCATAGCCTTCTCTCTACATTTTTGAGCCCATAGTGCCATCTGCTGGTAAAGTATAAATTAAAAAAATATATAAAGAATGGGAAAATATTTTCTAGGGATTTACATTTCACTCAGAGAGCTACAACAGGTAATTTACAAAATTAAAGTTCATGCTACTTATAACAACATCTAAGAATATTAAGGGTAACTGCACTGACCGTAATGTTAAATGTGATCGTATTATGTGTGTGTGTGTGAGTGTGGGGGGGGGGTGAGAAGCAGAATGTTTTCTTTTAAGGAGCGTCTATAACAGCGGTTCTCAACCTGTGGGTTGCGACCCCTTTGGCGGTCGAACAATCCTTTCACAGGGGTCGCCTAAGACCATCCTGCATATCAGATATTTACATTACAATTCATAACAGTAGCAACATTACAGTTAGGAAGTAACAACGAATATAATTTTATGGTTGGGTCACAACATGAGGAACTGTATTTAAAGGGCCAGAAGGTTGAGAACCACTGATCTATAACATCTATACCGTAGGGGCGCCCTGAACCCTGCAGGCATCACACTGTGATAACCTGGACGAGCTCCCACGGGGACCCGAGGAGCCACCGCGGATGCAGAGGGAGCCCACTCCTTACCAGAGGCCTGTACTTCATTGACGTACTGCAGGAGGTCCTGCCCCTGGTGGATGACATCGAAGGTCAGGTTGTTCATGGTCAGGGCTTTGTCTGCGTGGTGCTGGAGGCGCTGTTCCGCTATTGTGAGGTCTTCCGTGTCAAAGTCATTCATTTGCTGAGAAAGCTCATCGTTCCAAGACTCAAGGTCTGAGATGATCTGACAGAGGAAAGTCTCTCTTTAGGATCAAGACTTAAAAATAAGAATCTGTTGCAATAGCTTCCGTGCCCGTTAAGGAAGGAAGGGACTCATGGGATCGTGTCAGAAGGACACAAAGGCCAACTGAAGGGGCTCCCACTGTCCAATGATGGGACAATTAGACACTAAACAAATACAAAAATGACCACCATTGAATAGAATATATAAAATACACAAAAATCCATGAATTCCTAGTGATGTTTAAAAAGAAGAGCTAAAAGCCAAAAATTACATTAAAAACTCTTTGGTTCCGATTAGAGGTAGTCAGGGAACTAATCTTTCTCCTAAAAACTGTGAACCATAGTAGAAAACTATGTAAGCATATAATGGTGCAGGAAAATTCCCCTTTCTGGATAAATCTAGCTATTACATGTAGAAAGCATAATAATATCAGAACATTTTATTCTAATTATTGTTTAGAGTCTAGTAAACTGGGTAATGATCACCACTGCATAGTAAGCCATGAGGAAGGCTGATGGGGAACGAACACTGGAAGGATCAGGCTGCCGCCTCCTGAGCCCACAGACCCACCGCAGCTTCCCTGAATGTGGCTGGACGGACAGCCCTCCGACAGGAGGGGCTGTGATGTGCCACCCGTGCAGCATTCTCGCACAGAAACAGACCCCGATTCCAATGAGGTCTTCACCTCTAACTGCTGTGTGTACAGGAAATGCCGGGGAAAGAAAAACAGGTGAACAACTCGGAAGAAATCAAGTGAGCAAAGGCAGACTGTGGGACCTGACCACTGATGAAGCTATCTCGACAAGTGGTGGTGTGGAGGGAGGCGGGCGGACGGAGAGACCACCGTAGATGAACAGACGGAGCGGCCGGGGCAGGAGCGGACCCCGTGCAGCCCTAACTGAGGTGCTGCGGCCTCTGAACAGCCGGGCCTGAGAAGACAACCAGGGTGACTGCTAGACTGCTGAGGTGTTCAGTGAGTTGTGCTCATGGAAGAAAATGGCCTCGTTTCTTAGGGAAGTCGGCAGGGGTGAAATGACACGCCGACATTTTTCTCTAAAATGCTACAGCACAACAAAAACAAAAAAGGGACTGAAGCAAGGAGGGCTGTGCTGTCCTCACCACCTTGGTGTAAACCGTTCATTATATACTCTTTAAAAATTAAGAGTAAAATGGTAACATCCAGAAGGGAGGAAAAGCCTTCTTGTGGAAGAGTATCATAAGATACACTTCAATGGAAACACATCTCCCATCGATCCTATTCCTTTCTCCGCATGAGCAGTGAGCGAATTAGTGTGAACATCCGTGAACGGGAGAGTGTGCACAGACTCCGGCTAGGAGATGGGAAGTAATAAGAAACTTACGGCTTCCCCAAACTCCTTGCACAAGTCTTCTCAGTTTATTCTTTTATTACAGAGGCCATATACAACATGCATATTATATTAACCTATTAAGTTTTGCTTATTAAAAATCAACAAATTTAAACAATGGCAAATTAGACATAAACCAAAAAGCCACTGGGGGAAAATATTGTTAAAAAGGGAAAAATTGACCATATCTTTAACCTTTATCTCCACTCTAAGGGGATTCTTTCTTAATGTTTATTTGTTTCCTGGCGCTGAGGGAGAAGACACGGTGTGTGGTGAGAGACAGACTTGGGAATGGTCTCACGGAGGAGACGCCATCAGGCTCAGACGGCATCAAGCAACGGGCAATAAACATGATCAGTGTGCTCAGACCAGCAGGATTTGAAAACACTCGCTTGGCATAAAGAACCCTGGCATGGCCGTGATCTAGGGTCATCAGGAAAATCCCACCCACAGTTTAGCATTCTAGCTGGTCAACCATCTGAGCCAAGAAAAGAAATCTGTGCCAAAAACAAAGCTGATGAAAGTGGAAGTCATTTTTGAATATTAATTCTTTGGAGAAATAGCTTTGAAACAACTTTTTTAAGCGTATCGCAGAATTTTTATTAAGTCTAAATTTTCTTCCTAAACACATATATGGTTTAGTTATGACTAAACCCTAACCCTAACCCGTACCTAACCCGTCACAGGATGCTACAGTAATTATTTTGTTTTTCAAGCAATAGAGCAGATTACAGCTTCACACCCGGAAGCTGTAATCGCAGTAGGCTAAGGCAGAGAAAATCTCCATCTACTCCAACTGGAATACAGAGATGTGGGGGATGTAAAAAAATCAACCAAGTAACAGATGAATTTCCACCACCAACATAACTGCACGCTTCCTATGGGTAGTCAGACGAGGCATTTTCCCAGTAAGAGAGAAAATCCCAGCTGAAACCTAAACTGCTCAGATCTTCATGTTTCAGGGTCATTCGAGAGAAAAAAGGTTCCAAGGGCCTGATGTGCTAAAAGATTTTACACTGTATCCTAGCGCCCTGTGAACGCACTGCAGGCTCCGTTCCTGGGCTCAGGCGTCACCTGCCCGGCCTGGCAGCCTGGCCTTTACTGGGCCACGCGGAACTCCAGGCTTTAGTGTGGGGAAGTCGTCTGGCGTTCCTGAACTCCATTTAAAACACTGGTTCAATGAGAACAGAAATACAATGAATTATTTCCCCCTTTAAAGACCATTAATACAAGTGAAGCCAATTTCCCCCCCAAATAGCCAAGGTCCTGGAAGGAGAAACTTCAAATAATGCTTCTGACTGCTTTGCGTTGCTTTAACTGAAACTATTTAATCAGCAGCCACATTTACCAAAGCAGTTCCTCTAAAGCAGAGGTCAGAGAGGAAAGCAGGCTGCCTGCGGGGTCCTGCTCCCACAGGCTGCAGGCTGGCGGGGCGGGGCCTGACCGCTGAGGCCAGAGCCTTTCTCCACGTGGCTCCAAACCACGTGGCTCCGAGTGGATTTAAGTGTCAAGACTCAGAGCAGATTGTTGTTGTTTTTTCAGGGACGTGTGAAGGGTTCAATACCTTTCTTGTCATTAAAAGATGATGATAATGAACACAGCCAAGGAGGTTGTCCTTTTATGAAACCACTGATGGAAGTTTACACAAGCAGCCAACCAACGGGCCCCACAGAAGGCCTGCCCAGGGTGGGCCTGGCCCCTGCACCACACACCCCTCAGAGCAGGGCCCACAGACAGGCCTCGGGAAGCACAGAAGGCCCACTTCAGGCGAAGGTAACCACGGCAGTCAACACTTTGGCGGCCCTTAGGGTCCACACCAAGCCCTGCCTCACCCTGCCTTTGGCGGCCCTTAGGGTCTGGGCCACGTGCTCTCACAGCACTGCTCTAGCCCAGGGCAAGGGATCGATATGGGGAGAGCCTCCTCCAGACATCCTGGTGGGCGGTCGGGGACCCCCGGAAACCGGCTGTCACTACCACCAGCCCCCGGAAACCGGCCTCCCCGGCTGAGGTGAGCTTCGGTTCCTTCCCTCACGTTTCACAGACACTCGCAGAGTCATCCAACCACACTTCCTTCTGCCCGCACTCTATCAAGTTCAAACAAAGCCCTTCCCGGGCACAGAACGGAGAACCACCTCCTCTGGTGAAGAAAAAGGAAAGAAACCTGAACTTCTTTCTCCCAGTCACACATGAGGCGTAAAAGTCGCATGTTAACTAAGAATGACAGACCATCTGAGACCCTTCTGTGGGGGAATTCCCTAAGAGGCCCTCACCGCAGGCCCAGCGTGTTCCAGTCTCGGGCAGAGCAGGAGGGGGAGGGGGAGGAAGGAGAGAGGACCCCTGCTTGAGCTTGTGCCCCTGCTCCCAGGACAGGGAGAGCTGCGTGGGACCCAGTGGAGGCGAGAAGCCAAGAGGGCGAGAGGGACCTGTCCCAGCAGCTCTGCCCTCACCCCTCCACACTGGCCTTGCTCTATCCTGTGTGCGACGTGGGCCCTGCTGTGCCTGCCTGCTGCCTCTGCCAGTTCCAACTTCAGACAGAGGAGCAGAGTCCCAGCCCCCAGTTCCCTTCCTCTCTCCTCCTGGCAGTGGCCCAGGCCCAGGGAAGGACACAGGGCGGAGCGGGCGGGCACTCACGTCGATGGCGTCCCTCTCGAAGATGCGCAGCTGCAGGAAGAGGTCCAGCTTGATCTTGCGCTCCTGGAACAGCTCCTCCATCTGGGCCTGCGCCTCGTCCAGCTGCTGCAGCACCGTCTCGATGTGGCTGATGGAGCTGTTGTGGGGGGTCTTGTTGTTGGAGATGGCCGAGTCCCTGGGAGGGAGCAGAGAGGGAAACGGGATTTCAAAGAGACAAACAGGAATTGGAGGAGCAAGTCGCACATTGTCAGATCCCAGATCCGGCAGCTCGGGACCTGGGGGGAGAGAGCCGGCAGGAAGCGGCTGCCTGTCTCAGAAAGGACGGCCGCCCCTCCCGCAGAACAACAGCAGCTTCCTCCTCCAGCTGCTCCCAGACCTGAGGGAGCACGGAGCCTCTCCCGCCCGCCTCTCCTCGCTCTCACAAGGATCTAATGCTCTCGTAAGGCCAGTCAGCAGGGATCACTTCCAGCCGCTTTCTCCTTAAGTAGACAGAAGAGCTGATACCTGTTTACCATGAACGGCGGTTCTATTAGTCACGAGGGGTTAAACGCCAATGCATCAATGAAGCCTCTATCGAGCAACGTTGCCTGACTTCGCAAAGCGAACACCAGGTGAAGTTATCACCAACGATTCAATACACTGGCCTCGGAGGAGCAGTCGGGAGACTTCATTTACGTAAACGGTCCCTGTGATGCTTCCAGCCCCAGCACTGTCCCCGACTTCCTGCCACCGGGTCCCCTGAGGGGCAGGTGTCAGCCGGGCTGGGCCTGCCTGGGCCTCAACTTTGAGAAGGGGACACCCCACCACATTCTAGAGAGAAAGGTCACCCGGGGCCTGAAGGACATGGTCCTGGGAGGTTTAAGTAAAATGTCATTCATTACTATGTAAGTGTTAAGAGGGACTATTAATAAAAGCTGAATTCTGGGAAGGTTTATTAGTCAATGCTGTAATGAGAAAACTTATAGAGAAAAAACCGTAAGGGGGAAAAAGAAAAGAGAGAGATGCTACTCTGCATTACGCTCACAGACGTTATTTGTTCTCTACCCCATTGGACAGAGAATTATAGGCAATTGTTCCCAAAAGCGAGGGGAAGGGGAAACGCTGGCAGGGTTTCAAAGGGCCTGTGCTCAGGCGGGAGGCGGGGCAGGCCCACCTCAGCTGCTGGATGAGGTCCTCCCCTTCCTTGATCACGTTGACGGTCACTTGCAGGGTCGTCTGCTGCTGCTGGCCGAACCGCTTGATGAGGTCCTGCACGGCCTCCACCGACTCGGCGTACACGTCGTCCAGCAGCTCCTTCTGCAGCTCCTCCAGCCATGTCCACAGCTGGAGGGAGACAGTGAGGCCCGTCACCGCCAGGGCAGGCCCCGTGCGAGACGGCGAGGGGGCGGGAGGGAGGAGAAGTACCCCAAACAGTCCGACAGCCAGCAGCAAAGAGGCACAAAAAAACGCAGCATGTGACGGCTGCGAGGTGAGAAAGTGAACAGGCAGAGAGCCCAAGGGGACGATCAGAGAAGAGAAAGACAGGACGGGAAGTGGCTCTTCCCAATTCTGCCCAGGCTCCACCTGGGTGCAACAGAATCAGAAAAGACCCCTCCAACACCTGCCACACATGACGGCATTCTCTCACGCAGCCCGGGTGGCTTTTATTTTACTCTTAGCAAGGGCGTTGCAGTCTGTTGTTGATTATTAAACCGCTGCACAGACATGGGTGCTTTCCAGCCCTCAGAAAAGAAGGAAGCGTGGAGCGTGGAGGAATAATGCCTCCCCAGGCCTGGCAGGAGACGGGATGTGGCACAGCTAGTTCCACGCCTGGCCAGGCCAAGGTCACGGTCACAGTCCTTCATGAAGGAGTGGGCATCCCGAAACCCTTGCAAACCCTCACTGCCACTGCCACCTCACGAACACTGCGTCCGGGACCTGGGTGGGCAAGACCTCTGGCTTTGGTCTGGTGGGAGCAGAGCACTCCGGCCGCCTCGGGGAGCCGCTCCAGGTCTCGGGGAGCCGTTCAGCGAGCCGGAAGGCAGTTAATTAAGCCGAATGGGCCCTGGGCGTGGAGATGGTTTGTGCAAGGAGAAAATGCTCCCTGCTTCCCCAGGGATGTGAGAATCACCTCCAGCACCTTACACGTGTGGGTGCCAGCGGCTGCCTGAGCTACGGGACACACTGCCCAGCCGCACGCGCCGGTCTCGGGGGCTGAGTCAGCACCAGTGCACTTGCCGGAGAAGGTGTGTGCATTTGGCTTCTTGTTTCCAAACCCCTCCTTTTTGAAACTGCTCTGCTGAGGTATGACATGCAGTGAACTGCACGTGTTTCTCTGAGAAATGTGCTCCTGCACCCCCCCTCACCCCACCACCCCCACTTCTGGCCGTCTCAGTAACTCCTTGAGGACGGTTGGGTCCTCAAGGTCCTTGAGGGTCCTTGGTGTAGCAAGGAAATGCAGTGATCTCTTAGGCCTGGAGCCAACGCTTTGCTAAAGCCTCTCTTAAATTCACAGGCTCCCAGCACAGAATGCCTTTTCGGCAGCCCTTGGACACAGCCCTCCCACCCGCGGATTCCTGTCCTAGGATGGACACTGATGAAAAAGTGGACCTTTGCAACTGCTTTTTTTTCCTGCCAAAAAAGAATAAAAGCAACAACAAACCACTTACTTCACTCCCTTCTTTCAAAGTCTCAACTGTGTTCCACTTTAATCCACGTGCTGCCCTAAAGCTGCCCCCACCCTCCGGTCACTGAGGGGGAGCCCAGGGACAGAGGGCCCCAGCACACCGGCTGAGACAGCCCCGCACTGAGTGACGGCAGACGATGGAGGACTCTCCGGGAATGAATGGAGGGACACAGCGCTGTAAGCTGCTGAGTTTAGGAATAGTGCTCCCTCAGCATATTATGCTCACCCAGGGGAGCTGAATAATTTAAGCAAATGTACATCCAAAAAGGAGTGCTCTTCTCTCATGTGATCTAACATTAGTATCGATGAGGAGAAAGGTAAGGGAGCCAACGCTGCCCCGAACACTGACTGCATCACAGAAGGAGGGTCTGGCAGACACTTCAGACCACACGCTGGAGCCATTGTAGCCCCTGGTTTCAGTGACACTGCGCCTTTAAAAGCCAGCATCTCACAACGTTAGTAGAAATGAAATGCGTTAGTGGAAATGAAGTTTGTTGTGCAAACAAACAGAAATGCAAGTTTTTAAGAGCCCACCAGAAGAACACTGCAATATCAGCAACGCAACATTAATTAGGACAGCTGGTAGGAGCCCGCAGGTTCCGGATGAGACACACCTCCCACACAGCTGTCCCAAGTCCCCTCCCCCATTCAAACAGCTGGGTCAGGTCTCCTCGCTGACCCTGTGTGACCCCGCCAGTGGGACAGGATGCGGGGTAGGGGGAGGTGTCTGCAGAATTCCTCTTCTCCAGCAAATACTACCATTTAACACGACTACCATTAAATACCATTTAAGTGACAGGACCAGTTGAACAAGTCTTGCTTCTACACACTGTGGAGAGGAGAGGAGTGCAAACCCCCGCTTGAGGCGCAATGCACCGCTGTGCTTCCGCAACTCCACGGCCACCACATACGAGGTCATATTTTATCCCCAAGTAATTAAACCGAAACACTTCTCCTGAGAGGGAATGTGGAATAACAGTGAAGAGAACCTCAGGTCCGTTCCTCACCTGGATCCAGGTGTCAGTTATTCTCCTATAAGACGGGCCTGGTAATAATGCCTGCCTCGCAGGCTCCCGGGAAGATGAGGTAGGGTCATGTACCCACGTGAAGAGGTAGGTAAATGTTAACCACTACTATTAGTCTTGTTCTTGCAAGGAAAATTCTTCTAATAATAAGACTCACAATGTTTTAAAAGCCTTTTTTCCCCTAGATATTATTCAAAATGTATCCAGGTTCCTACCAATTGTTCAAAATATGTCACAGTCTGGTCAGCTTAACACCATCCGACATTTTAATCTTTCACACCTAAAAATAGGACGGCGTGAGGAAAGTTGCTGGGATGTCTGGGCTTCTATAGAAATCACTTCCCCTGGCTTCCAGGGGACGTGCCAGGAGTGAGGCCTTTTCCTTTCCTCCGGGTAACCTTTAAAGAACTAGCTTATTCCCTCCACATCCTGGACACTTCAACACATGTCCATGGGGGGGACATGCCCGCCCAGTGGAGCGAAGCTGTGCAGGAGCCCGCAGGGACCGTGCTGGGATCAGGCAGGTGAAGAGGGGGAAAGCGAGGTCGGAGGAGCGAGGTTACCTCTAAGTCCATGATGTTCATGCTCAAAGGTCCTTTCCCCTTTAGAATGTTTCTGTCTGGTCCCAAGGAAATATTCTCATTCAAAAAAATCTCAAAGAAAAGTGCCCTGGCTGGTTTGGCTCAGTGGATAGAGCATCACCCTGCGGACTGAAGGGCTCCAGGTTCGATTCCTGTCAAGGGCACAAGCCCAGGTTTCAGGCTCAACTCAACTCCAAGTGGGGGGGCGGAGGGGGACGGTGGGGTGCAGGAGGCAGATGATCAATAATTCAAGCTCACCACTGATGTTTCTATCTCTCTCTCTCCTTCTCCCTTACTCTCTGAAATCAATAAAGATATATTTTTTTAAAAAGTCTCAGAGAAAAGTATTTCTGATGTCGATTTTAGATGAACTGATGCATTCGTCGTGCAACAGGATTCAGGCAAAGCCTATGTTTAAGCTTTGAAAATACTACCTATGCCTCCTAACAACCTCTGCACAAAGCAATGAGAAAAGGTCTCCAGGCCTGAAAAATTTTACCACAAACTTCCTGAATGTGAAGAAAGAAACCTGTACTCCTGTGCTAGCTGTTAATTTGCAATAAAAGATAAATCTCTGCTTGACAGCAAGAGTTTCACTCTAACCAAGTTCTCAGCGGCATGGACTCTATGAGTAAGAACTGTGCCCACAGCCTCGGCTCCTCAGGCAGCCAGACTTAGGCAACGCTGCCCCCTAGAGGCCCTCTGAGCTGCAGCCAGGCCCACTTCATGGAAGAGAGCTTGAACCCAGCCCACAGTGGCTGCAGTGTGCACAGGCCTGGGTCACAGAGCAGGCTGGGCTAGGGAGACACAGGGATTTCTGGGGAGAAAACTGACAAAATCTGGATCCTGTGTCCACCCGAGTCTGACCCGTTATACCCTTCCCACAAACTGTGCTGGTGGAACCTAAAGGAGGAACCTTGCTCTGCTGGGAGAAACCCCCGAAAAAGCCCCTTCCTCACTAATGGGGAGTGGAGACCCCACCAGAGAGGACTCCTAAAGGAACTCATGGGGGAGGGGGGTCCCAGGGAAGGACTGAGCTGCCAGCTGATTCTGTGGGTGGTAGAATTGGGACCCTGAGATTTGGGGATTGCTCTAGGGGCAACCACTCTCCAGTGCACAGTCTGCACGCAGGCTATAAACCTGCTCGCAACACACCAGCTGTGGGTGGCCTTGAGAAATCCTTTGGCGCTCTCTACCCTCAGTTTTCTCATCTATGAAATGGGCTCATGTTACCACATATGTCTTCCCTAACTGGCAAAGCCAGTTTGAGAGTCAATTACTACAAGCACTTTATAAACAGAAGCTACTGCTGTTGGCATCTACTCTTGTCTGTGACTAAGATGATCATTCGGGTACCAGTGGAGATGGGTGAGCAGTAAGGTGGTGTGGGAAGCACAAAAGCCACAGCTCCCAGCTGCAAGCCAGGAGCAGAAGTAGGTAGTTTCAATGGCAACTGGCAGGTGGAATTTCAGAAGGCACCATTCTAAACGTAAAATGGGATCCAGTTTCAGGTACGAGAGCAGAAATCAAAGGGGAACTGTTCAGCCATGAGCAACACAGCACCTCTTAGGCCTGAAACTGCCCACACACTCGTGGTGCACATGCCCGCGGCCCTGTTCAGAGGAGTGAGGGTTCAGTAGCACCTGGGTGTTCTAGGGCAGCACAGAGCTCGGTGCTCTTGGATGGGTGATCAAAGATCTCTTCATATGATGAAAGGGAATTTATGAAGGATGCATGGGCTGGGCAAATCGAATTCAGTATCATGAAATAATAGCAAAGCAAATATGCGTAAGAGGAGAAAAGGGGAGAAGCCAGGAGCAAACCAGGTGAGGACGGGATAAGAGGCCGCTCCCAGTGCTCTGCACCCCAAGGAGCAATGAGAGTCCCCGTAACCCTCCTCCAACCACAGTGCAAGGTCCAGGGAGAGTGAGCACTGGCTGGGCTTAAAGAAAGGAGTCTGCCTGCCCAAGTGGTAGCATGAAAACGGAGCCAGACAGAACAATCCCCAGATGGCTGGCAGGCTTTCTTTCTGACTCCTGAACAAAATGAAAGGGTCTGTCCCAGGCATCACCCCAAACAAAGCCTGGTCCCAGTTCAGAGTGTAAGTTTGCAGAAGCAGAGCCCACGGCTCCTTTCCTGAAACCCAGCGAGAATCGCAGCTGGTCCAAATGAGAACAACCTTTCCTGGGAAACCACGGCCTCTGGGAATCAATGAACAGAACCCCACTCAGGGCCCTGAGTCCATTCCAGAGACAAGCCTGGCCGGGACCACCTGGTGGCCTCAAACAACCCACACATTTCCAAGGTAATTATTCATTAACTCCGGACCCATTTTTGAGAAAGAAGGTGAATGAGTACAAATGGATGAAAATAATTGTGCTTTTGCTATATTTGAAAATGGAAACATGTCCTTCTATCATTAAATCTCAGAATATGTGCTAGAAATAGACATCATTATTCCCAGCGACTGAGCTCTGCTAAGCCTGGTACGGAGGCCAGCTGTGGGTACAAGGGTAAGTGAGACAGTTCTGGTCTTCAAGGCACCGTACATCCATCAAGAGAAACAAACCAACGTCTGAAATACTGTATGTGACACAGAAGTATGTTTTCCACTGTCTTCCCTTGTGCACAACCTCCTGGAACATTACAGTGGCTCAGGAGACACTTTGGGATGAATGAGCGAGAGAGTGAAGGAATGAGCAGTGGAAGGTGCACTGGAAAGGAGAGGACAGGTAACGAAGACTCATCATGGGAATACAGTGGGGCCTTGACTTACGAGTGTCCCGACTAACGAGTTTTTTGAGATACCAGCTGTCTCTCGGCCGATTTTTTGCATTGAGTTGATAGAGTAATTTGAGTTAACGAGCTCCTTAACAAGCTCCTTAACGAGCTCGGTCTCAGAACGAATTAAACTCCTAAGTCAAGGCCCCACTGTATTATACTCGGAACTGATGTGAATAAAACGCTGCAAATAATACGAAAGGGACTAGAGAGGTTGAGAGGTGGAAAACAAATGCAGGAGAATAAAAGTTCTCCCAAAATAAAATCCAAAGTTGTGTGAGACTAATCAACAGTTCTGTTAAATACTATTTTAAAAACGTTTTTGAAAAGGCAGAGCACCAGCCTTCATCTTCTAAGAGGAGGTTAAGCCTCTCATGAATTCCTTTCACAGG